TAGGTTATTTGTTGGTGCTTTTGGTTGAGGTCCCGAGGGCCTCAGGTGTGTTTTGGATGCTCAACGGGTCATTTTTCTCCTATTTTGAACTGCTGTTTTTTCTGCTTCTGATATGCTCTTACGCGTTCGCGAACATCCTTACGTGTTCGCGAAGCTTTGTTGATGACCACCTAGAAATTCTTCTTCGCGTTCGAGTAGCAATCCCCGCGTTCGTGAAGCCCGCTTTATTCCTCATCGCGTTCGCGTCCACCATCACGCATTCGCGTAGCTATACAAGTCCACTTTTCGCGTTCGCGTACTAGTTCACGCGTTCGCGAAGAGCAATCTCTAGGCCATAATATTTTTCTTCTTCACGAACGCGTGACTTCCTCCGCGTTTGCGATGCTTTAAATATCTGGACAGAATATAAGTTTTCCAAAATCGAGGGTTTTGTACCATAATTCATATTTTTGACTTGGGAGCTGGGGAGATCACGTTTTTTGAAGGGATTTTCACCTGGGCAACTTGGGTAAGTGATTCTTACTCGGTTTAGACTAATTTCCATGAATCTTTCCTTAAATTCATCCTTAAATTTTGGAATTTTGGTAGGAATTGGGGGAAAAGTTCTTAGACCTAGAGATTGGGTTTTGATTGGGTTTTTGGCATCCGATTTGAGAGATTTTTATATGAATAGACTCGTGTGAGTGTGACGTTGGCCCGAGGGGCATTTTGGTCATTTTACATAATTCCGTGTATTGGCTTAGAATTTAATTGTAGAATCAATTACTTGAAGTGTTATTTACATTATGAAATTGAATTGAATAGATTTGGGCCATTTGGAGTAGAGTACTCGTGGCAAGAACATGGTTTGTAGTTGATTTTGAGCCGGTTCGAGGTAAGTATCTTGCCTAACCTTGTGTGGGGGACTTCCTTTTAGGATTTGAGTCTTCTCTGTTGATTGTAATCAGAGTACGCGAGGTGACGAGTGCGTGCTCGGACTTATTTGTGGAAACTTGTCCCTTTAGGATTCTTAGGTCCGTATATTCACTGAGTATGAAGTTGTTCTTGATATGATTGAATTCCCTATTACTAGTTTCACCTCTACATGTTTTACTTGGAATTAATTGCTTTATGGTTCATTCTTATTGCCTAATTGACTCTTACCTTGCTTAAATGAAGATTCTTTACCTCCTCGATTGTCACGTTATCTTTCATAACTGCTTGTTTTTATTGGAAATCATTATTATCTCTCATGTAATTATTTAATCTTAATTGAAATTGTTGTATATCCTTTGTAACCTGCCCAACCTTAAAAGAAGAGTAGATATTTTATGTTTAATTGATATTTCCTTATTTGAAATTTACTTGACTCTTGTTAACTCCCTTGTTGTTGAACTATATGCTATGGGGTCATTGCTTCATATTATTTTCTCCCTTGTTGGGTTGTTATTATTACGCTTAGTACTCTCTATTATGGTTATTCCTTGTGAGCTAGTTTACCGTCCCCTGGTGAACGAAAGTTCTTGAGTTGATTCACTTGTCGTGCTCTTGTATATATTGTCATTGTTGCTGTTGTACTTGGGGTGTTGATGCACGAGGTTTCTACCGTTTGGTTGTTGATATGTGATGCACGAGGTTTCTGCCGTGCGGTTGTTGTTGTTGGGTCGCACGAGGTTTCTGCTGTGCTATTGCTACTATTGATATATTGCACATGCGGCGTAACAAGGTGTGATATGTATATATGCTTATATGTGGGTTGCGCATGGGGCGAAATAAGTTGGAAACATTATGATGCACGTGCGGCGACATAAGGGGGGCACTTATTAAGTTATTATATTACGCGTGGCGGAATAAGGTGGGCTATGTCAGGGATTGATTGTAAGGATTTGTGACGGCCTGTGGAGGCATTCTTATTTTTGTTTAATATTGTGATTGTGGGTTGCTTACCTGTATGAGCTTTGTCTCGTGGAAGTGTTGAGGAAACATTGTACGTGCTGCCTCTTCTTCTTCGTACGCTTATTAGCTGGTAGAAATTATGTTAAAGCACTTGCACAAGTATACACGTAGTGGAACATCCCTATTGTACGTAAAGTCCCCTGACTTTGCTAAGCATAGATGTACGCCCATGTTACTTACCATATATGCGAGAGTGGCCCTAGTTAGCAAGTGAGCTGTCAGTGTGACCGTGAGACTGATGTGAACACCGTCGTAGGGTCTGAGTTATTGTTTTGTTTTCCCTTTATTGCATTGTGACTTTAGGATTTGGGATGAGTTTTTGCCCATTCTTATGTGTCATCATTCTTAATATTTTCGTTGTTACTTGTTGTTCTTTTCCCTTATTGCGATTGTAGCATTGTTGGTCATTTCGTACAGTCTTTATATAAATGTATATCATGTTTCGTTATTCCTATCATTGCACTGTTTATTAGACCGGTAGGTGTCTCGACTGTTCCTCGTCACTACTCCACCCTCTTGATACTTACTGGGCACCGCTGTGGTGTGCTCATGCTACTCTTCTGCACATTTTTGTTGTGCAGATCCAGGTATTCTTCACTCAGTTCTATCATCCTTGGGAGGAGGCGTTTCTGTAGAGACTTCGAGGTATATCTGCTACGTCCGCAGACCGAGGAGTCCCTTTCTATCATTCTGTAATAAGTATAGCCCTTTCAGTATTATCCCTTGTTTAGATATTTCTGGAGTTAGAGCTTCTTATGTATCTCTTAGCTTGTGATTTGTGAGATTCCGGGTTTTGGGAATTGCTGTTAGCTTCGACAGTTGCTATTGTTCGTGCCGAGCGGCACCTTAAACACTGTTTATTTTTATTATTACGGTTTTTAGTTATTTTTTCTGCAATTATTATTTATATTCTGCATTGTTAGGATTACCTAGTCATAGAGACTAGGTGCCGTCACGATGATTCACGGAGGGCGAACCGGGGTCGTGACAGGTACAGAGATGTGTGTACTCATATTCCAGAGGCTGTGAAGTTTAGGAACAAATTTCACTTCTATTCTTCTCTGTCGTGCGATTTTGTTCTCTCATTGCTAATTGGACTTTTCTACGTTCGTTCTCTCGCAGATGCCAAGAACACGTACTACATCTTTAGCTGGGCAGCAGCCAGAGCCCCCAGTGGCAGCTCTTACGCGGGGCAGAGGTCGAGGTCGAGGTCGCTCCAGAGGCCGAGGCAGGGGCAGAGCTCAGCCCAGAGCTTGAGCAGCAACACCAACAATGGAGCCTCAGATGGAGTTTGATGAGAAGGTTCTAGTCCATACTGTGCCTATCGGACCAGCTCAGGTCCCGGAGGGGTTTATCGCCACCTAGTGCTTCAGGACGCTCTACTCCGTTTAGTGGGCCTTATGGAGAGTGTGGCCCAGGCTGATACATTTCCTATGGTACCAACCATCTCTCAGGCAGGGGGAGGACCACAGACTCCCGCTACCCACACTCCGGAGCAGATGGCTCCCCAGCATCAGACTCCAGCAGCCCAGCAAGTTGGGGTAGTTCAGCTGGTTGTTGCGGCACAGGCCGGTGATGGGCCAGCCATGTCTTCTGAGGTCTTATTGAGATTGGACAAGTTTATCAAGCTCTTTCCACTTCACTTCAGTGGTACACCTTCTGAGGACCCACAGGATTATCTTGACCGCTACAATGAGGTGCTGTGGAACATGGGGATAGTTGAGACCAATGGGGTCGATTTTGCTGTGTTTCAGATGATGGGTTCTGCCAAGAGATGGTCGAAGGATTTTGTAGCTACCATACCAGCTAGGTCGCATGCTCTTACTTGGGAGTTCCTTCCTGTCACACCGAGAGAGGATTATCGCAGGTAGTTTGAGCATCTCCAGCAGACCAGTATATTAGTCACTCAGTATGAGACCCATTTTGTGGATATGGCCCGTCATGTTATTCTTCTACTTCCTACCGAGAGAGAGAGAGGGTGAGGAGGTTTATTGAGGGACTCGCTTTGCAGATGGCCAAGGGAANTTCCATAACCCACTTTGATTCCAAAAGTTAAGGCACATCTGCCAAATCTGTGCAGATATAGAGAGCAATGTAGGAAAAGATTAACTGATCAGTATTGTGCAGATATTCCAGAAGTTCAGCAGCTCTTTTTCCATTGCCCTGCCCTCTCCAGATTAACTGATCAGTATTGTTAAGATAAAAGATTGAAAATTTTGTAATATTTCTAACTTCCCAGTCATTAGGATTTATTCTAGAGAGAACATTCCAACTATTACCCTCCCTGCTTTGTGCTAAAGTAAGTTTGGTATTTTAAGCTAGATCGTAAAGAATATGTTACAGGAGCTGCAAAAACCAACTGGTATAGGTGCAAATATGACGGTTACTGATGCACTAAAACCAACTAGGGATTGAGTTGTTGCATCTCTGAAACCAATGGAGAAATCAGCAGGGCAGTCTAACTTTCATACAAAAATCTGCCACCCCCCCTCCCCTTTAGAAGTTTGCAAAGCGTAATAATACAAAAAGTTCAAACATCTATGAAATGAATGCAATCTATCCACTGTCATTCCAGCTAAGTTAAATCATATTCATATATAGTTCTTGGCATCAACAAGTATAATTCTAAACCGAATAAGCTAAAAATAAGCAATATTAATACCTCGAATGAGTTGGCCTTCTTTGTTGCTATCAGTAGATGGACGACGGATTGGTTGTAACGTTGCTCGCTGTGCAGAAGAAGCTTCTCCAGGAGAATTATCACCCAATGCCGCTAGAATAATATTAGCATCAATATCAATTCCTGAACGCTGAAGTCGTGCAAGGACATCTGCAACAACTTCTTGACGGATAGTTGCCTTTTGTTCCTCAATTTTCTCCTCCATCCTTTGTATCTTCTCCTCCATTTTTTGTAGAGAATTTGTAGTATTTGAAGAAGATTCAAAACATCCTACCTTCCCTCTGAAAGAAGTTCTTGTAACCCCTCGTCCATACAATATCAGACGTCCCGCATGTTCGGCCCCATGACAGATGCAAATGCATCAACGGACTCGTTGCCATTTTCCTTTTGTTGGGCTTCAATTGCCACCATTTCAGCCTTCAAAGCAAATTCAAACAAATAGAACAAGTAAATAAAATGTATACTAATAAAAACAAATAATTGATATCGATATAACATCAGTTAAATATAATTCGCACAATTTTACTAGTTGTATCATCATCTGAGCACTTGTATGATCGCCCAACTTTCCTTTTACTTGTAGCTACAAAGACTTCTTTTGCCGATAAAGGATCCGAAGTTTCCTTCTCGTTTTCCTAGTTACATAGTTACGTGAAAGTGAGTTAGCATTCGCGCTGATCTACCATGTACTAAAGAAGAGCAGAAATTGAGAAAAATTTTGCCGTTATTTGCTAGTTGCACACCAACTTAGAGCGTACTAAAGCAAAACTTCTTTTTCCAGCAGTGTGAGGATTCTTCAACTTTTTCTGGTTCTCAATATTAATTTGGGACATTATCTGCAAGAAGAAAGAAACATCAAACAACAACTTACAAAATCACTAAGCAGATTCAAAAGTTAGTCTTGTAGCGAGCAGATTGCTCTCCATCTTTTACCACTAAAGGTTAGGCTTGTAGCCCAGAAGAGCCTTCGAGAGTTCAAAAGTTAGCAAAAGCTTGCAACTGGAAGCAGATTCATGCAGTAGCCAAAAGAGTTTCCAACTGCCCAGCAGATTCAAAAGTTTTGCTAGTTAAACAGTTTGCAACTGCCCAGCGGATTCAATTTGATTCAATTCAGCACGGTGTTAGCTTTTCCTTGATATGATTAGGCATGAATCTGAATAGACTCACCTCTAAGCAAAACCTATCTCTTTGTACGACATACAAACAATCAAAAATGAGATTGCTAGTAGATCTGAGACTGTAACTTTCTCAGCAGAAACATCAACACCAAAAGGAATACAACATTCCCAACTGGAAAAGCAAATTAGCGTCAACATAAAACTCCCTAACATTTGAATTAATAAGACTCCCTAACATTTGAATACATAAGACTCCCTATCCTTAAAATCATGTTCAATATCCCAGTAAAAGTATCGCTAAACATCAACTCAGGTAGACCAAAATATTTTTTGCTAATAGCTCATGAGACAATGGAATCTGTTCACAGACTCTGCACTGGGTAAAAATCAATATTCTGCTCCAAATTTGCCTAAAATACAACTCCCCCACCCCAGCTTTAGACTATTCTAGCTAGTCACAGATGAAATCTCTTCAGAGATTCTACACATCTTAAAAAAATCTACCACCAACTTATAGCACATAAATGGAAAGCATTGTTAACCTACCTGGCAGATATGAAGATAGCTTGTATAGATAGTTTGACCTATCAGTCTAGCTTGTACCAAAAACAAGATACACCAATTTCATACAATAGGCACAAAATGCCAAGCAAAAGTTACTGATGGACTTCAAATACAATTTTACCTCCATACAATAGGTACAAAATGCCAAGGACAAGTTATTCCCATGTGATGGACTATCGGTACAACCATACCTCCATTGCCCATAGACCTTAGATGAATTATAAACATGGTTAGGACAGTACCTCTACAAATCAGCTCGAACACGCTCACGGTTAATAAATGGAACGGTCAGCGGAGTACAGATTACAGACATAGTTATAAGTTATAACATCCAACACCCTATATTTAGACAGAACGTTCCGCCACCCCAGAACTCTATAGGATGGAACAATTCTAGAAGTTATAACATCCTTGATATGTAGGCTCAATCTTTATTTCTTCTAGAACTACGTAACATGGGCAGCTAAAATGATAGCATGCTGCTTTTTTATATCTAAATCAGTGGAACAGATTATACGCAAGAAGATACACGATACTACTAGATACTCTGGATTTTCATACACATGCATATGCAGATTATCAGGGACAAGAAATAAGTAGCAAAAACTGTTAACTCTAGTTTCTGTCTTCTTCGGCCATGATTAAAGCTAGACCTTCGCTAAAGGCCATCAGCATTAACATCGTAAGTTGTATATTTGCAGTTTCAGTGCTCTATTTTCACAGATTACATAAATCTGTGTGGATACATAGCTAGGCCTAAAATTGATATGGAATTTCTTAAGACCATAACTTTTCAGCATATCTACTTTTACGATATGTGGACGACCATACGACAACATAACAATTACATACTAGTGTTTCAGTGCTTTTTGGGCAGAATTTTTCAGGAAAAAAATCGCCAGCATTTCGGCGCTTTTTGGACATTTAGAAAGAAAATGAAGAAGAAGAAGAAGAAGAAGAAGAAGAAGAAGAAGTAGTAGTTGTTGTAGTAAGAAGTACATATACCTGGAATTTCTCTAAGTTACAATACCGAAGGAGTTCCTTAAACTGAAAAGCTGGAACATCTTCAGGGATATTTTGCAATCGAGCTTCATCATTGTGATAGGAGTCAAAGTGATCCTTTTTCAGTCTACTTTTGTGCTTTCTCCAGACAGCTTGCACTGATTCCAAAGTATATTTTTTTCCAGCTTCGGGAATATCATATTTATCCTACAATTGATGTCAAATCTAATAGTGCAGAAAATATGAGATTTTCAACCAAAAACTAAAAATTAAGAAGTTCAGACCTTGGTATATTCCCATATATCCTCTTTTGTGTCCATCTTCCTCCAATCCAAAATATCAAGCGGACATAGAGTCGCATTCCTTGCCAATGTGCCGAGGAAGCTTCCAAACTCTGACACAGCTTCATTACTAGGACCAACGGGTTGATTTAAATGGTTAAGTAAAATCACTTTACGCTCCTGGCGTCCATGTACATTTTTCATCTTTGTTCTACCTCTTTTTCATGGTTGAATAGAAGGGCCTACAATTATATGAACAAAAAAAATACCAAATCAGTATTGTTGATACATTATATATGACTGCAATAGGATGTAAGTATTTTTAGATAAAATCTATAAGTTATTACCTTGTTCTTTAGATTGTTCAGCTACAGTAGGAGTTGTAGAATCCAACTGAACTTGTTCCTCCACTTGTTCATCTATTACTTGTGTGGCAGGAGTGGTTGATCTAGTTTGTACATGATCAGCCACTCCTGAATATTGTGGCAGTAGCAGATTCTATCCAATGATATTCGGATGCTCTTTGTTTGATTGTTTAGAAGGAATAACATATTTTGCAGCAGTGGTTGATCTAGTTTGTACATGGGCTACTACTCCTGCTTATTGTGGCAGATTCTCTTCAACAATATTCGAAAGATCTTTATTTGATTGTCTAGCGGGAACACCATATTTTTGGCTAAACGAACTCCTTATTTGATTTGCCAAAGATGCCATTGTTCCAGGTTTTGCATATGTCGCACCTGTCTTGTTTTTGGGCTTTGAAGGTCTTTCTTGACTCATGTCTGTCAGAATCTGATGAAGAATACAAAAATAAATCATCTCTAATAGGTATAATATAAAAGAAAATAGTAGGATTTAAAGACAAATTGTTGGAGTTGATCTTAGAAAGCTGAAATCTGCCTGATTTACTTATTATATTAAACTGTGTGACTGATGCTAAGGTCAAAAGAACTATCTACTTGATTTACAAAATAACAGCATAGAGACTTATAATCTATTTTACCTGAACTGATAGCAGTAGACAACCACAACTCTAAGACAACCACAACTTTAAGATAGGAAACAAACTAAACTTGGATTGAAACATATTAAAATAGCTCCATATATCAGACTAAAGTTTCAATTACTTAGCATATTACAAAAGCTTAAAATAGAAACAAACTACAAAGTCCAAGCTAGAGCATATACAAGAACAAAAAATTGTTCGAAAGAAGACAATTAAGTTCAAAATTACAAATAAAAATCAGATGTTCCTTCTTCAATCATCAGCCTCCATCCAATCCCAATCCGCATCATCTAACTCGTACTCCTCTTCTGATATTTCCATATCTGTATCTTGAGAATGTTGTGCATCAACTGGCATATCAATAACATCAAGAGGTACATCATCTCTCGACCATCTAATATCAATATCGGCTAACCTAGTTGATGGACTGGCATCATCATTTGGCTCCCTCCAAAATGTCTCCCCAACATTAGGAATATTTTCTTCCTCCAAATCATACAAATCAACAGGGACTTTATTCCTTGCATAGTAAACATCTTTCTCAATTGGATCCTCCACATAAAAAAACTTGGTGGAGTTATGATGCCAATACAAAAGAGTTATCAGTACTACATAATCGGTTAAAATATACCCGAGTTAACCCATATTCATCAACTTAATTACGAAACCAATCACATCTAAACAATACAACTCTAAAGCGACCCCAATAATCAATCTCAATGATATCCTGAATAGCTCCATAGTACTGAACCTCTCCATCAATGCGATTTTGGTCCTTAGCACTAGCAAAACTATCCGTTGTTGCTGACAAAGTCACTCCACTATTCTATGTCTTCAACGGTGCATCCCATGTCATTGTATGAAATAAGTAGCCATTGATAAAATATCCAGTATATCGTTTGGCCAATGTATTAGGCCCTTTAGCTAGCCATCGCAAATGATTGGGCACGTCAATGCTTTTTACTTTCTCTTTAAACCAGTCGGCGAAGTTTCGACTATGATTTCTTGCTCTTACCCATGCATTTGATCTAGTTTGATTATCAATTAAATTCTTATGTTCCCTGCAAGACATATGTTTCAAATTTAATCATTAGGCCTTTATAAAGTAAATTTAAAAATCTTAAAATATAAAATAAATAAGGCTTATAATACAAGTGATGGTAATATATTTTATCTTACATGATAAATGCCTCCACTTGTTCATCTTCAGTATTGAAGAGAGCATATCTATGTGACTCAGAACATAACTGCAAATCCATAGCAAAAATCTTTCCTTTTCTCTTTTTCTTACTTCCAATTGGATGGCCTATTTTAGGAAAAATAGGTGACAAATTTGCTCCTCCAATGTCCCCATCATCCTCAGTTTGGTACCTACTGAATCTTGTCTTCACCCCATCATGTAGGTATCTCGAACAAAAGATCAAGCACTCTTCGTCCAGAAACCCCTCTGCAATCGACGCTTCTGGATGAGCTCGATTACGAACAAACGCCTTATATTTGCACAAATTTCTTTCAGTGGAATACATCCAGCGACAATGAGTCAGACCCCCGAGCTTAATTTCATTTACTAAATGAACAGGTAAATGAGGCATTATATCAAAATAGGATGGAGTAAAAATCATTTCAAGCTCACATGTAATATCATTGATTTCAGTCTGCAATCTATCAAGATCCTCTCGCCTTATAACCTTGGCACATATTGCTTTAAAGAAGTTACCTAACTTAATCAATGTCAAAGAAATATTCTTGGGTAATGATTTTCTAGCAGCAACTTGGAGCAAGTAATGCATTATAAAATGTGCATCATGACTCTTGTACCCGGATATTTTCATCTCTTTCTCATGCACACAAC